ATCGATCGATATACATCGCGAGTTTGGAAAGAGAGCTTTCAAACACGGAGTTTGTCGTTTCTCCTGGGAAAAGAAAGACAAATATGGTGTCTACAGAGATGAGAGTGGTTATGCAAGAAGCATCACTGGTGACATCATCCATGTTTACAAAGAAAATATTGAGAAGCTGCTGAATAGAGCCACACTGTTTGGATGCTCTTGTTTCTGTCTACCAGAGCATGCTGAACAATTTACTAAAGGAGTTCCAGTTTGCAAGCTCTACACACAAGCAGAGGTCACACACATGCTGAATGAAAGAACCGGTGAACATAACTGGGAGATGGCAGGATTGAGGCCAGAACATGAGAAAGCCATGACATCACTTCAGGGAGAACTACTATGGAACATGTATGGCAATGACTTTGCTCGCAAAGAAAGAAAAGCCCCTGAAGAAGAGGTGAATGCACTTCGCAAAGAACTTGAATCTCAGAGACGGCCATCGACCGATACAGACCCATCAGCATCAATCAACACGACCTTCGACCAACCTATCGAGAGTCACTTACAAAAGCTATCGATCGATGATATGCCCAGCACATCAATCGATATTCGCGCACCAGAATACTGTACCAGAGATGAACTTGAAGAAATCACAACGGAGATCTATAGATCTATTGAAGCCTGTGAAGACGGAGCACATAGATCACTCGACAAATTTTGGTTCCCGGTACAGAGTGACGTTCAAGAATTGAAATGCACAATAGAGGACATTCAGATGGAGATCAAAAGCATCAAGAACCAGCTCGCGAGCCAACTGCAAAATCCGCATCGATCGACAAGCCTCTGAACCCATCGATCGATGGACATCTATCCACATCGCCCGATAGACCTACACCAAGATCGGTCGATACTAACCCTTCCCCTGTGCAAAACACCCAAAACCTCGACCCAATGCATAAGAGTACTAATCTAGAGCACACCTACATCAACACTGGACGACATGAGTGCAGTTTATCAAGCATTGAGGAGTAGCTACAGAGAATCCACTATGAGGTCCAAGGTTTGCAAGCTAGTATGACTAGAAGTGAGAAAGCCACAAGAAGCTTTTTAACTTCATGGTTTGAAGAATCACAAGACAAGGAGGATACTTGTTTCCCAACAAGTACCTGCAACCCACCTAACTAGCCACCATACCTCTATAGTCAAGCTAAATGACTTTAACTAAGTGCTGAGTGGGTGGCAACCCACTGTTAGGTATTTTCTTACTTAATTTTATCTTATTTTTACTTATTACTTTCATTTTTATTTGTTTTTAGGAACATAGCTACACGATCACTACCTATCGACTGATGAGACCATGTTTACATCGCCCGACATAACCCTATCCATGACGATCGATGGAAGTGACTCACCATCGATCGATACGAACATCGGTCATGTATATCGTTCACAATTTTGATATCAGTTATACATTTATTATTTCTTATGCTCTAACTCCGACTAGTTGTACACTGAAGACAGTGTATGATTTAAGTCTGGGGGGAGTGGAATTACTGATGCTACTTTACCTTTTTGATCTCTTTAAAAAGTATTCCAAAATTGGTTTTATTGAGTCAAGAAAGGGACAAAAAGATTTCAAAAATTTTTGCTTTTTATCTTACTACTCTTTCGCACCATTCTTAGAATTGTTGATTGCAGAAAGTACTATAGATGCTAAAGTGGATCACCGATCATCCTATGACAACACTTTTCATGATTGTTTAGAAGAACCAAAGCTGATTTCCAACCTAACCTGACATCTATTGCTTGTCTTGGGGCTTGGTATACAAGGGATTGGAATCCTCATGCAAGTCTGGAAGGTAAAAGTCTCAACAATTTTGGTTTCTTTCTCTCCTTCCTTTGGCATCCCATAAATAGAAAATAAAAGATTGAGATGATTTCCTGAGAGGCAGAGGGAGAGGTACATTACCCATGACCCCACTATTCTAAATCAAAGGAATGATCACACATTGTGGAAGCGAGGGAGAGGTAAATTACCTATGATCCCACTATTTGCCTACACTTTGTCAAAAAGGCTATAAAAAGTTGAAAGATCAATAAGATGAACATTAGTTGTTCATTGGGATTGATATAAAAGAAAAGAAAGTTTGGGATTCAGAGAAGAGAGATAAAGAGAGAAAAGGAACCAGAATGAGAATGCCTGAAACTTGTTTGAGTTGAATCCAAGTGTTCTTTGATCGATACTCCCAAGGTAAAGCCTACACCTTTATTTTATGCATAAATGAAATCAGTAGAGGGGATAGACAGACATAATTTTTTAAGTTGATTGGCTAGATGAATTTGGTTGCTAAGCTAGGATATGGTATAATGTACTTTTGTAGTTAGTAATATGAGATGTGGCTTGCAACAAAGTAGAGGTGATGATTTTAAAGTTAAGATTTTATTGAGTCCCTATTGTTTTTAAACTTCTTCCAAAGACTACTAATGGTTTGCTTGAGGACAAGCAAAAGGTTAAGTCTGGGGGAGTTGATATACCATGATTTTGACCCGCTTTTAGCCATGGTGTTGATATGTTTTTATAAGTTTTATATATGTTTTGGAGTCTATTAGGTATGTTTTCAGGTTCATGAGCATTTTGGAGTAAAGTGATGATTTAGGTGCCCTTATGGAGCTTAAAGGAGAGCTTTCCGAGATGACTATAAAGATCAGACAACAAGGATACATATCGATCGATACACACCATGTGTAATCGATCGATGACGCTTCCATAGAAGATGAATTCGAGATACTCCATCGATCGATGTACACATGTAACATCGATCGATATGAAGCGTGGAGAACAAGTCCGACATGGCCGACTTGAAGCCCAAATTTTCCCAATATTACAAGATTGCCCCTGACGAGTTTTTAACCTAATGGAACTAATATTTATAGTCTTGCCTATGTGTTTTGGCTAGACATGCTTTTATTGTTCTAGTTCCTTTTTGTACTTCAAAAGCTTTACATGCTTTTTATGTTCTTTAATTTATAAAGTATTCTTTTTCATCTTTAATTCTCGAAGGTTATAGAATTCTAGATTTAGAAGAACACACACAAAGAGATTTGTTGTTCCAAGAACCAAAATTTCAATCTTCTAATCTTATGAATTTCTAGTATTACCTTGCTGTTATGAATCTCTTAGCTATGTCTGAGTAGATTCCTTTGTTAGATTTAGGGTTCAAATAGTTATGAGGGATTAGCCCTAACTATGGAATGTTGAGTTGTGATATTCATTATCCAAATAAACCCTAATGCTTACTCTGGAGTAGCTAACTAGAGTATGATCATGGATGTGATTTAACTTGTTAATCATTGTCCTGAAATCATTTGGCATAAGCTTAGATCCTCTAGGGATGTGCGAGAGCCGGTCTATGATCTTGGTGAACACAGTTTCGATTCGAACTTATGCTATATCGATCGATACTCCTATAGAGTCATCGATCGACGGCAACCCATATCGTCCGATATCGCTGTTAAAACATCGGTCGATATTGCCGGCAATAAGATCAATGGATAAGTTTATTTAGCAACTGCTATTAGATCTGTCTAAGAATCGAAGTTCTTATATATCTTGCAAGCAACTTACTAAAACATTTGTAGCATTATAAACCTGATTATCTGAATAGCAACCTTGAATCTAACTACTTTCTTTTATTGTTTTAAAACCAAAACCTATTCTCTTGAGCAACTTATCATTGCTCACAACTGCAAATTACTGTTTTTACTTAATCAACCTAGCATAATCACTTAGGATTACATCTTTTGTGTTCCTCAGTTCCTTGTGGATTCGATCCCTAAGTACTACAACTGAACCTCTTATTTGAGAAAGTAATTCACTCCTTAGGGTTAAACATTTGAGTGATATCAAAACCCTAAACTAAATTGACTAAATTAACTAACTAACCACGTTATAAAATCAAATTATACTTAAATAGTGTTTACTATACACAGAAATAAACACACTTAGGTAAATTTTAAAATTTTCAAAAAAACATTTATGCTTTCGAAAATCTAACCCTAAGAAACACATACAATACTACAACACATGTTGGCAAAACATATGTTGGCAAAGCATATCATGACTCACTACTTTCACTCATCTATGTTGAAAACAATTAAATTTTGTTATATCTTAATTTATATATCTTAAAACATATGTTAATTACATGATTTCAATTTTTCACTAATCTAAATATATTTTACAAAAAAATTAAATTATTTTTAAGAATAACTATACTAGAAGACTTTCAACTAAGTCGTCCAGGCGACTTAATTGAAAATCGTTTGGATATAATAGTTAAGGGGGTTAGAAACGTAGAAAAAAATTCGGGTGTTTTGTTTGTTCACAAGGAACTGGTTGTAATTTCAATAGTCTTTTAGGTTACTTTTGCATTTGATTCATGTTTGAGTTTACTTTTGCATTTGAATCTAAGTTTTGAGTCATATTTGGCAAATTTCCCTAAAATAAATCATCACATTGATTTAATAGATATATTTCTAGTTTGGTAAAGTTATAGTCTCTTATATTCGAATGACTTGGAGAGGATACGCATTATAGAGACGCAGCCTAGTTTGTTGACCTCACATCTTTAACTATGTCAACTCATGTATTGTCAACATCTGCAGCTTGGCAAATCATAACATCTTTAATGACAATTTGCTGTTTAATCAATTATGTTAAATTAGTAATCCCCTGATCGATGGGTTCAAAAAGAAAAGTTCTTCCTAGTGAGTATTGACTTTCAATTCCAGTGAGAATTAATCGTATATACATATATAGAAATCGTATAACCGTATAGCACGTAGTGACATTATTATCCAAATATAGTTAAATATATGCTACAACTTGGTAAATAGTAAATATAGTCAAACCAAAATGCATCACTAATTCACACTATCATCCTGAAGAAGTCTTACAAAGTCGTCTTACTACTTTCACTATATATACTTTGAGACCCCGTAGTAGTTTAAACAAGAATCACAAAAATAAACACAAATAAATTATAATAGCTACATAATTATGGCTTCAAGAAAACCATCGGTGAGACACCCAAACCACAGCCATCCATTGCGCGGCCACAAAGCCCTAGCTGAAGAAGAGATCATCTGCTCTGGCTGTGACCTAGACCTAATAGGTGCAGCTTTCAAATGCACAAAGTCAGAATGTGATTACTTCTTGCATAAGTCATGTTTTGATCTTCCACTTGAGACTCGTCACAAGGCTCACCCTGATCACCCTTTGACCCTGCTTTATTCCTCACCGTACGAGTCCTCAATTTATGAGTGCAGCGCGTGCGCTGAATATGGAACCGGGTTCGTTTACAACTGCTCTATCTGTCAGTTTGATTTACATGTCGGGTGCATATCTATGCCAGAGTCCGTAGAACGTGAAGGACATGAGCATCCTCTAACATTGATGTACTGTTCTCCTGCCCCGGATGGTTTTCTCCTTATCTGTGATGTATGTCGAGAGAATGTTCCGGATCACCTATGGTGTTATTACTGCAAGGAATGTGGTGAATATGGCACGCATTTACATTCTTGTGAAGTAGAAGAAAAAGAAGAGCCAAAGAGAGGAGGAAGAGAAAAGACGAGTACAAGTGGCAATAAAGGAGGAGGACGAGACTCCGCTGCTTCGGAGTTAGCTGCAATGCTTGAAGCTCAAAGGGAGATGGAGAGGATGCAGATTGAGTTAGACACTCAGCTGATGATAGCTAAGATGGCGAAGAAATCAAGAAAAGCGTGTCTCAAAAGTATACGATAAAGTTGAAAACATATTTCATATTTGTTTCTCTCGAGCTTTCTTGGATTCTAGGAGCTCTCAAACTCAATGATTGACCTTTTCATGTGTGTTTTACATTGATTTATTTCTGTCGCTGATTTCATGCTGTTTTCTTTTGAATAATTATTAAATAAAAATAAGTATAATGAAAGCCTGTTGGTTTTATTTGTTCTAATTATTATATATCACCATCTCAATTTTTTAATTAATGCAAATGTTGACAAAATTTAACGAGTCAAAAATTTAATATACTATGTAAGTATATATTCCCTCATTTCAAAAAGCTCTATGTTCTAACAAAAGTATTTGTTTCAAAAATGATACATTTTGTTGACATTTTTAATGTATTACTTAATGATACATTGTAATTTTTATAAAAAAAATAATTGTGTTTATTAAATTTCTATTGGTTAAAAATTATGAAAAAATGTTAGCTATAAAAATGATGGCATTACTAATTAAAATTTTATATATTTTCTTACTATATTTAAAAAAAATCTAAAACTTACGACTTTTTGAAATAGAAAGAATAAGATATTATAAGGTTGATTAGCTAGCATTGACCTGCACAAACTTACTAATGTCCTCTGTAATCATTATCACAAACGAATTATTAAAAAGAGCTTTGTCTCATTTTTAAACCATTAAAATAGTTTTATTTATTTTTATATAATTTATTAAAGAAAAAATTTATTGGATCATTCTTTTAATTTGTTTTCATAAAGTAATTTTCAAAGAAGAAACTGACTAAAATAAATAATTTATTTAAGGATAAATATACATTTATATCTTTGGATTAATTAATACAAATTTAGGATTTAGAGTTTTTTTTAGGTAACAAAAAAAAGAGATTATTTTAGTGAATTTAGAGTTAAGAAGTAGAGTTTTAGATTAAAGTTTCAAATTTTAAAAAATAAAATACAAATATTACAAATTTTAAAATAAAAAAATACTATTCTAATCATTTTCTAGAATTATTTTTATGATAAAAAATTAAAAATGGCTATTTGAGCGTTTTGGCCTTTATCAAAATGACATCATAATCAAATACGATAAAATATCTTCAAGTCAAACCCCACGTCAACGATCTAACAATTATCGCGTGTGATTCATGCGCGACCGTTCCGTGATCCGTCCGTTTGTTTTAACGTTTGTGTAAAGTCACCGAATGAATCAGAGTCTGAGTAAATCGGTTATAAAGATTAAAATAAAAAAGAAGAGAGAGAGAGAGAGCTTTGATCAATCAATCAATCTATCTATCAATGGCGGATGGAAAACCGGACGAGCAGCTCTTCCAGCTTCTTTCTGGTCTTCTCCATCAGGTTTCGATCCCAATTCCTTATGATCTGATTTCATGTTCCAATTTCAATGATCTCAAAATCGGATTCGTCTTAGATTGAATAGCTTTTGATTATTTCGATTGTGTTGGTTAGAATATGTTATAGGAATTGTTATGGTGTTCTTCGTCAGGTTGAATCTTTGACGAATACAGAGGAAGTGGAATTACGTTCGAAGATCGAAGCTCTTGGCTTAGAAGTCACCAAAGTGCCATCAAAGTCGTCTCAGCCACTCACTGAGGTGGAGATTGCTAATGAATTGGATAAGTTATCAGCAAAGCTTGACGATGTTGATGAGATGATCTCATCTGCTCTTGCTTCTGATCCTCAAGTTCAGACTCTTCTTAGCGGCACTGCTGATGTTTGGTTGCCTGTTATCACTGCCAACACCGAAGAGAGGCTTAACTTCACTGCCTCAATCGGTGATGATGATGTTGATGAGGATACTAGTACCAATAAGGACAAGAACAACAGCTCGTGAATCTTCTTTGCAGAACATGTTTCTTGTTGATTATACTCAGTATTGTTCTGTCTTTTTTTTTCTTTTTTTTTACTTTCTGCAGTCTTGTTACTTTCTCAATTCAATGTGTGCATCTCTTTGATATTTGATGATGGAGGTTTGTGCGAATTGAATACATCTGTTTATGTTATTTAAGATTGATTATTGATGATTGAGGTTATGAAAACTGAATACAAATGTTTTATTTATTATCGGTATGCAAATTTGCACACTGTAAGTGTTTTCTCAGGGACAATAAAATAAAAACTCAGGATGAACAATTTCTACATGATCAACGTTTCTTTCAATAGGAAAGGCTATTTAGTGTGGAAGATAATGGAACAACAACTCAACAAGAGAGTGAATGGTGGCTTTAAGCAGATGAAGCTTTCTTACAGAAGGCATCAAGCCAGTCCATTGTAACACTCTTTGGCCTCTCAAGTGCCAATCCAAGAGCTCTGTCCCATATTAGCTGTAACCAAACCACAAAATAACATAACCTGAGCATCTGAGTTCTGTTTTATATTGGTTTCTAGTAACAAAGACGCATATATTACCTGAGAGCAGATACCAAGACTCCTTGAGACACCAAAGAGCACGGTGTAGTACCTATAAAAACGCACAATGTTATTACCACTCGACTTAATAGACTCAACGATATGTTATTAAACCAGAGGTCTGCTTCTTACCTTGCTTCGGTAAGACCATAGTGGTTGAGCAACACTCCACTGTGAGCATCAACATTTGGCCATGGGTTCTTCACCTGTAACAAGCAAGCCATCACAGGATTCAGAAAATATGTTAACTGAGGTTTACATGAGACGTATCCACCGAGTTATTGGTGCATTATGTTTCATACTTTATGTGAAATCCATTACATGAATTGATCCCCTTGGTAACGAGAAAAGATTAGATATATATTACCTTTCCGAGTTCGGTGAGAACGGGAGGCACAACTTCATATAGCTTTGAGACCTATAGAGATGAAGGTCTTGTTAGCCACTGCACAGTTATATAATTTTGTAAGAGCGCAAAAGAAAAATAGAAGAAGAAAATAAAAAGTACCAGCTGGAAAAGAGGGTCATTAGGTAAATGCTTCAAGGCAAATTCTCTTTGGCATACATATCTTGGATCAGTTTTGCGAAGAACACCATGTCCATATCCGGGAACAACCTGAAGACCAATCAAGCTTTGTTAATTAATTATTTGGTAAATTATCTTTGTAATGCAAACATTTACAATGTCAAACTAGAAGCCGAGTTAGTAAAACAGGATCCCACACTTTTCTGTCAATATAATTGCCATCAGCTACAGAATGATCCTTTTAGAGTAAATTTAAATAGTAATTCAGTATAATGTTGGCCTGGCAGCGATAAAGTAGATTAGTGTCGTGTGTTTTACCTTGCCACTGTTCAATGTTTTCCAGACATATTCTTTCAGCTGGTCTTTTGAAATGTTCTCTCCACATTCCTCCACAACTGATTTGATCCAAAGCAAAACTTCCTGTTGCGACAAGACAAAAAAAAAGGGAAAGAAATGTAAACCTTACGGTTAAACATAAAACCATAAAAAACTTCATAGATAATAATACAAGAGGCAACTCATGAAGCTCTGACATAGGTTGAACAGAACAAGGATATCGACAATAAAGAATACCTGATTAGCCAAACCATGGAGTGGCCCAGCTAAACCGTTTAATGCAGCTGCAAATGACAGATATGGATCTGAAAGTGCACTACCGACCTAAATACAGAAATTGGATCATCAGAAATGTCCAAAATGTCAATCCTAAGCAAATTTAGAACTGCATGTGGAGGAACAGTCGAGACTGAGAAGCTATGAGCATACGCACCAGGTGACCAGTGTGAGCACTAACGTTTCCACCTTCATGATCACTAAAACCAAAAACAAGAAGAAAATAGAAATTGTCATGTTAATAGTTGTAAGTCTTTGAAAATAACAACAAAAATGATAAGAAAATTAAGTTAAAAGAAATAAATGGACGACGAAATTAGTACATACCTGTGTATAGTGATGTAAAGCCTCATGAGCTCTTTCATTTTATCATCATCAAATCCCAACATGTGGGAAAAATTTGCACCATAATCCAAAGATTTATCTGAGGGAATGGAATCGCCATTCTTATACATCCTGCAATGATTTAGTACGCACTCAGTCCCAAAATCCAGACGCTGTAAGACACATGAAAAAAAAGAGAGCAAAAAGGCCCAGTAACTAACCTCCGATAAACATATGCAGCTACGACAGGAACACGAGCAATCAGGTTGAGGCAATCCTCGTATGTTGGCTCCCAGAACCTGGACGAAAAGATCTTTTTGATGATACATGCAAAATATAAATGCTTTCAAGAACTACATCAGAAACTCTAAAAACGTACTTTGACTTGTGAATTCCATTCTCATATGCCTTTTGGAACTCACTTTGCACCTGGATATATTATCAGGTAAGGCAATTTACCATTCAGCCGAAAAGCAATCACTCGTAGTAAAAAGTAAGCTCTAACACTTATCACAACAAGAAAAAGTAAACACCAATGAGTTTAGAGATCCACACCTGGAGAGCCATAACACCGCTAGCAAATTGAGTCATTGGATGAGCTGTGGAAGGCAAGGCATCGATGGCATTGTACACATAATCTGCATAAAAATTGAATAGAGGCTAGGAATTAATTATGAGTAACACGAAAACCACACAAAAAATTACATTTCTGCTAAACTTTTTTTCTGAAATAATAATGTCTAGCTCTAACAAGATTGGGTGAAAATAAACATTGCAAACAACCAGAGCCAGAGGTTGAACAGCCAAACCTGGCACAGCAGCACGGTTCGCCAAGTCTTTTGATAGTGCTTCAACTTGCTCTTTGCTAGGTACCTATACAAAAAAAAAATGGTAGAGAAGGATATTATATTGAGGCAAACTAATTGTCAGGACATGCCTGTGACCACTGACCAACTTATAAAAATGTACAAAAGGCACACCTTTCCAGTTAAAAGAAGCCACAAAAGACCCTCGGGCAATGGTTCTCCTCCGGACTGGGCAGCAGGTAATACTTTCTGGCACTCAGGAATTGACAAGCCCCTAAAGCGTATTCCCTGAAATAATGATAAGATAGTTCAACAACAGCCTTTGAACGGGAAGGAAGAGCATTTGATAAATAATACACCTAGGATCTAGCCAGCTAATTACAGAAATACAAAGAGTTATCAATACCTCTTCCGGGTCAAGCAATGAAGTTTCCCAGAGCAATCCAGTCATCCCTCTCATCCCACCAATTACCTATATTCAGAAGGGCACTGAACTGAGTCATTCAAGGGGAGGCTTATATATATTAAAAGAACACTGATTCATCATGTTTTTACCATATCAACAGTGATGTTTCCCAGTTGGACCTTCCCATGTTCTGACTTCAGTTTCTTCAAACGGTCCTGAAATCATATTTTTTTCTATGAGGAAAGAGGAATCCAAAAAAAACAAAAGAGGTCCACTGAAAGTAGCCAATGTAACAATCTCAACCAACGTAACAACAATAAACAAATTCAGTGATAAAAACAATGTCAACATCACAAATTTCCATTTCATGTAAATAGAGTAAAAGTTTTACCTGTTGTTCCGGAATCAACTCTTGCAGCTGCGACTTGAGGTCCTGCATTGACACAGCAAAAAATGAGCAAAAAAATGAGCAAAGAGAAAATTAAAATGTATATACTAGAATATCACATGCATCAAACATGAAAAGAAGGAAGGAGATAAATTACCATATCGGTAGAGCACTGCATCTGAATCCATCTCACTGAATTGCTGAGTGAAGATTGTTGCCCCTGATTACATTTGATTAGCATCAAAGAGACCGAGAAAACTAAAAAAAAACCCCAAAACTTCAGTGCTAGGTAAATGAAGAAACTACTCACAACGCGAGACCTCAGCCTAGTTAAGGCCGTTACGCTGCGGAAAAACACCATTCTCCAAAACACTCAAAACCTGTAACAGCATCCAAATATTATTTTATTTTTTTTAGTATCCAAATATTAATTTCGAAAACAACTTCAATGATCCGTGGAAGCTCAGGCAACCAACAACACTCACTTAATCAAAAACCTACAAACAACCAAAAGAGGTTTATCGCCTAATCTACAAATTCAATAAAACTCGAGATTCGATCAACGAAGCCAATTCTAAGATTCCAGAAGCAAAACAAGGACTCCAGTTATTCTCCTAGAATCACGGGAGACAAAGAAAGGGGATGAGAATTGTTAGAAGTAAGCGAAGAACATACCGGAGATTCGGGAGGAGCGTGACGGCGATCGAGAAGAGAGAAGAAGGCGATTATTGAGACACTTTTGCTGCGTGTAATGTGCAAAATGATCTTTTTTATACATAAAAGGAGAAAAGCCAGCAAAATGCCATTTGGATTAGTTATAAAATTCCTTTTTTGGACCTTACTAAACGTTGAGAAGGCAAACCAAACTAAACCAGGACAAGGAATCTTGCAGTTAACCGGAATCAAACGGGTAGAGGTCACAGGTCAGCTTGAACTTTTGGCCTTTTTGCCTTTTACCTTTTGGGAAACCAAACCGAATTAATTTGGCTATCGTATTATTTGAAGCATTCACGAAACGTTTCTAGACCTACAAAAGCTAGGTTTGAAATTGTCTCTTTTTTTTTCATCCAAACTTATGCAACTAAACATGATCAGACTCATTGGAGAAAGGGCGCCTAAACTTGTTCCTTGTTTTTTATTCTTTTTTGCCAAGAGAACACTTTCTTAGACTAAAGAGCATCTCTAATTTTATTCTATAATTTACTACAAAATAGAGTTGAAAATGAAAGGATGAAGAAACAAAAATTAAACTACTCTATTTATAATGTAATCCAAATTTTTTTCTTCATCATTGTATTTCTCACTCAATTTTGCGATAAATTATTGTGTAAGGTTGGAGATACTTTAAACCTAAATTTTTCATTTCTTTAAATGAATATTCACAATTTAGCAAAAAAAATGGCACCTAATGCTAATATCTAACACTATTAAAAGATGCTAACAAAGCACTCTCAGCATGTCCACGTATACATTTATATTCAACCAATTAGAACATGTTATTTTTCCACATCGGATTAAATAATCAACCTATCAAATAATTTTACGGTTCTATTGAATCGATCCATTCCCTTTCACTCGCTCCATCTTCTCCGCCTTCTAGCAATCTTCATCACCATTAACTATCAAACCAACTCTTTCTTTACCATCTCTTTTCTGAAATTTCCTTCTGAATATGGGGTTCCTTTCAATTTTACCTCATCAACTTTCGATCCCTAATCGCCTCCTCGATAGCAAAGTTTCTTTGGAAACGACAGTATCTAATTCTAGATCGACAAATCGTTTTGTGGTTTTGATAAATCAGAGCCCAGGGAAGATTGAAGAGAAACCGGTTCACCGCAAGAAAATTAGTTTCTTCAAGTAAGTTAGATTTTCTGTGTGTGTTTACTTCTTAATTGGTATTGAGTTTTTCTGTTTTTTTTTTTTCAATTATGGTTGTTCTCTGTGTTTACCTCCAGGTGTTTCAGAGGTGATGCTAAAACTCGAGATCAAAATCAAGAAGGAACAAGGTAAGATTTCTTTCTTCAATCAAATCTCATGGTCACATCAAGATGATTCTCATAACACTATTAAAAGATGCTAACAAAGCACTCTCAGCATGTCCACGTATACATTTATATTCAACCAATTAGAACATGTTATTTTTCCACATCGGATTAAATAATCAACCTATCAAATAATTTTACGGTTCTGTTGAATCGATCCATTCCCTTTCACTCGCTTCATCTTCTCCGCCTTCTAGCAATCTTCATCACCATTAACAATCAAACCAACTCTTTCTTTACCATCTCTTTTCTGAAATTTCCTTCCGAATATGGGTTTCCTTTCAATTTTACCTCATCAACTTTCGATCCCTAATCGCCTCCTCGATAGCAAAGTTTCTTTGGAAACAGCAGTATCTAATTCTAGATCGACAAATCGTTTTGTGGTTTTGATAAATCAGAGCCCAGGGAAGATTGAAGAGAAACCGGTTCACCGCAAGAAAATTAGTTTCTTCAAGTAAGTTAGATTTTCTGTGTGTGTTTACTTCTTAATTGGTATTGAGTTTTTCTGTTTTTTTTTTCAATTATGGTTGTTCTCTGTGTTTACCTCCAGGTGTTTCAGAGGTGATGCTAAAACTCGAGATCAAAATCAGACAAGGAACGAGGTAAGATTTCTTTCTTCAATCAAATCTCATGGTCACATCAAGATGATTCTCATATTATATCTCTTGTGTGTTGTGCAGGGAAAGTGGGAGACTAAGAAACAGAAGAAGCAGTTTGGGCTCCGTTGAAGAAGATTCACCTCTCATCGAAGGATTAATCTCACAGGTTTGATCATCAATTTCGCTCTTAGAGGTTTCATATCACTTGAATTTAGGGTATTTCTAAAAAATTTCGACTTGAGCTTGAGTTTGATGATCTTATGCATGTTTCTTTTTGGGGTTTGTTGAGAAAAATTTCTGGGTTATTACTGTTGATGCTCTTCCATGTATCCGTTTGAATCTCTAATAACGCTTGAGGGATGATGATGATTCAAAACTTTGAACTTTGCAAGTGCAGATGAGATTAGCTTGAGATATAGTATTCCTTTGATTTCATTAGCACAATATTATTTCTCACTGCAATGGTAAGGGCTAAAACTGTAATCTTGATTTTTGTTTGACCAGGAACAAAAACTCTATGCTGAAGATAGTTCAGTGGACTTTCATGGAAACCCACCACTGAAGGAGAAAACATGCAACTGGAAAGCTTGCCCTTTTATTTTAGGTACGCTAAAACCATTGTTTGCTTCATTCAGTCCTACAAAATTTATAATCTTTTGTCTCTAACATTTTGAAGATTATATTTTTAATGTGTAGGTAATGAGTGCTGTGAGAGGCTAGCTTACTACGGTATTGCTGGGAATCTAATCACTTACCTCACCACTAATCTGCTCAAGAAGCCATCGAATCTGTAAGCTTTCTCTGTTATGTTTAACAATTGTTAGCTCAGTGTTCTTGCCTGCCTTTGATTACTCATAACAATTCCAACAGAAGTAGGCAGTGATTTAGTCTCATGGAGAAGTTTCAAATGGCTATCATTTAGTTTTGAGCTGCTCTTTCTGTTGTTTCTTTAACTTCCCAAGGTTGTGAAATACAGCTACAGAACCAGTTGAAAGACAGGGAAAGAGCATTGATTACCATGGAGAAAGCTTGATCTGATTAAGAAGCTACAAGATAGGATCAACTTGCATAGTTTGGAGTTGAAAGAAAAGGAAGAAGAAACTCAGCGCATTAGCACATTACTGGCTGAGAAAGAAGCATAACTAGAGAAACTAAACTCTGCTTACACTCAGACTAGCCGAGAACTTGCTGGAGCGAAATCAGAAATCAAACAGCTAAGGATGTAACTCTCTTTCTCAGCCTCTAAAGTAATTGAGATCGGAGGGTTTGATCCTGAAACCATCGATGAGATCAAGACCGAGAACTCTTCGTCGGAAGAAGCAACCGGAGACTCGAAAGTTCTGTTTCGGATTGAGAAGTTTAGAGTGTGTGACAAGAGGAAGACAGATCACATTCCATGCTTGGACAACGAAGAAGATATGAGGTTGAATAGTACAAACAGAGGAGAGAATTACGAGAGACATTGTCCTAAAGAGAGCCTTGACTGCTTGATTCCACCACCAGATAGGTAGAAGAAACCAATCCCATGGCCACAAAGCAGAGACAATGTGAGATAGTTTCATAAAGCACCTTCCTTTACTTCCTACCAATGTAAAGTCTCTAACTTTATTGAGTGATGTGTTTCTACTATTATATATTGTTCAACAATGTGCCTCATACACGCTTAGTAGAAGATAAAGGAGGTCAAAACTGGATAAAAAGAGAGAAAGACAAGTTTGTCTTCCCAGGAGGTGGAACTCAGTTCATACATGGAGCTGGTCAGTACTTACTACTTAGACTAAATCTCTGAGGTATTGTCTTGCTCAGGATTATTAGCCAGAACCTGAAATTTTATTAAAAACTTTGATTAGAACTAGCCACAGCCTTGTCTTAACAAGAAGCATATAACCTCGACCCATTACAAGATTGACGTATCTCCAACTAAGTTCGTTTATAAGTTAAATTAACACACAACATACCATGTTTGATAGAAGCCTCCTTGCTCTGAACAGGAGACATGGAAGAGGACGGATCAATATGATTTACAGCTGAAAGAGATGTAATTGTCCTCCCAAACAGTTTTATCTCCCTGTCTCTAGGTTTCAACATACACGTTTTGCAACTTAACAAAAAAAAAAACAATTCCTCTAGAGATATCGTTTACTCTGTTTTTTAATCTGTCGGAGAAAAAAAAAAGACTGATATGGAGAAGAGAATAATACAAGGGGCTGAGGTTGGTTGGTATTAATGACGATAATGCATGGAAAAGAAAGAGATAAAGTGGGTGTTGAGAGAGAGAGACCTGTGAAGTTGTGAGAACCACATTGTTGTGTTGTTTACAAAGTGGGCATTTTGAAGATCATTTTCACGCTTTTTTTGTTGCCCCTGTTCTAGTGCCTTTTAAAAGATTTTAGCCATCTTCCTTTGTTGCCACGTCGGATTTTCTCTTCTTTTTTTAAATAATAATTTAAAGATATAGAGAAACACTTGGTGAACCTGTCGTGTTGCCTTGGACATTGGCTGTGGCATGGCGAGCTTTGGTGCATTTCTGATTTCCGATGCAACGTAACACTACATCTCTGTCTGTAGCACCTAAAGATGTACATGAGAATCAGATATACAGTCTGCGTTGTAGTTGTCTTATAATATGTAACACTCTTGCTTTTAGTACAATGAGGAGGCTAGAGAGCTAGAGTTACAAGCTAAAAGAAAAACTGATATTTCCACGATACACATTGCGAAAAATATAAAAAAGTATCATCTAATGATGTTTTATGAAGGTATCAGATTGGCAAGCAAAACTCATCTCATATTCTATTTATTAAAACCAGGAAAATGAATAGATCATGTAGAGATCTCGAGGCAAGGAAGAGCAGAGCTAAAGATTTCGAGAAGTTATATATGGATATGTCAGTGCAGAAGGAATTACAGGTAAACTTATATCATTCAATTTCAAAGGCATATGACTGTATCTTAAACATCTCTAATAATGTTATTTTAATGCAGATAATGTTCGGATTATAGGTAAGAATGGAGAAGGTTAATGCAGGGATGATAATGCTACATGAACTGGTCCCAGGCTGTGATAGGTTTGTCTCTCAAATACTTGTGATCAATATGCTAATAAATCTTTAGATCTTCGTTTGTGCTTAACGACAAAATATTTCTTTAATTGATTCACCCTATAAATAAGAATATTGTATAGTTTTGATGGTATAGTTTCTTTTTGTTAATTAATCAACAAAAAAAGTGGATTGCTTAATTGCTTTTTATGAAGAAGAGTGGTTTCTCGTGTGCGAAAGTGGCCTTGAAGATATTATTTTTTTTGTTTCTGTGTTGGGAGAGGTTTCCTCACAGGAAAATTCTAGCTTGAAGTCAGAATGCAGCCTTTGTCAAGAAGATAGTAATAAAAGTTCCAGAAATGATTTGAGAGATGATTTGACCAGCGATAGAAGTTGAACAGATTACATAAAAATTGGAAAAGTGATGGTAGGTTCTCAAGTTGGCTCAGAAGATAGAATGAGGAAGAACAACATAAAGTCAGCCGGGAAAGTAAAGGTGTTGAGTTGAATATAAAATCTGATGAGTTCCTCTGTGTAAAGGACTCAAAGGATGCAGAGAGGCCTAACAGGACTAATTCAATGGAAGCCCGGGAGGGAGATGGAAAAAGGAAGACGAATGCTCAAGACACATACATACTCAAGACTTAAGCGAGGAGAATAGAAGTCCTTCGCCAAACAGTAATCATAGGAGTGCAACTTATTTTTTTATTTTTAATTCTGAGCTTTTGCTAAGTTTTTTTTAATATATTTAAGTATGGCTTTACGTTACAGTTTTGCAAGCAGGTGACTTATTTGGTATTTCTTAATGTTACAACTTCGTATTATCCGGTGAATGTATGCTATAAAAAGACTATTATTTCTGTGTATTTAAATCATTTCAGAAAGTTCTCCTCTATGGTTACTTAAAAGTCTCCCTTACTACAAACTAGCAATAATTACGCCATCATAACGTCAATATAAAAGGACCGCCATTATTTATCTGTGTATTTTATATGATCTATAATTTATTAAAAATGTACATTTATTTAACTGTAAACAGGTTTAACATACATTTTAAATTGGTTTATAAAATATTAAAAATTATAATAAATGATTTCATAAACCTTTGTAAAATATATTTAGACTCTTATAACTAAGACTTTCAGAAAATAGTTTTATAAATCCTTCTAACCACGTAGGACGTTCAGGTTCGGATCAGATGTTTTGAATTTTTGAATATTTCAGTATAGGGGTATAGAATCCGTTCGAGTATTTCTATATTTTAAGTTGGATTCGGATAATTTTAGTTTCGATTCGGTTATTTGGGCCGGGTTTTAAAATTTTGATTTCGAAGAAATTCTAAATTCTTTATTTCATATGTTTCTATATGCATGAAGCAAGAAAATTGACATCATTTAAAGTGAATAGCAAATCATTTTGTCTGTAATTATAAGTATGTTATCTGATATACTATGTGTAGCATTAATATAAACTAGATTTTGACCCGCGCAACCGCGCGGGTGTTTGTTTTCGTTTATAGTTAGTTATATAAACATTTTGTTTTCACTTGTAAATTGATATATATTATAGTAATCACATATTTACGATATGTATAGTAAATGTTTTTCAAAGATAATAATATTATATAATAATTAATCAAATAAAGTTTTTCAAATTTTCTATATTATACATGTTTTTCAAACATGTGTTTGTTTATTCTTCTAGATTTTATTGTTTCTTAGATTAGTATTTCATTTTTAGATAAATTAATATAAATAGAGTTTTGATTAAATATTAGTATACTTTAATTTGCAAAGATAATATAAACCTTTTTTGTTAAAAACTAATCTTATAGCTTCATAAATTAATATTATAAAGAATTTTATTAAAAAGGAACTTTTCAAACAATTTTTTTTTAAAGTATAATTTTAAAAATTTACATCGAAATAAATTTATCTAATATATATAGCGTGTAAATTTTGTTAGGGTATATAAATATTTCATATTACTAATCTGTGATTTTTGTTAATATATTGTGGATGCATTTAACTATTATTGACATATTTCTGTATAAATAATAGAAGATTCCTAAACTTATATCTATTGACATATTTTGCGTGACTAATTTGGAAGGTGTAAGGTAATTTACCAAAATCAAATTGTTAAGTNTTTAACTATTATTGACATATTTCTGTATAAATAATAGAAGATTCCTAAACTTATATCTATTGACATATTTTGCGTGACTAATTTGGAAGGTGTAAGGTAATTTACCAAAATCAAATTGTTAAGTGTATCTTTGTTATTATAGATATGATTTCTCATAAGATATAATAATGATAAGATTATTAGAGAATTAATGTAACATGACTTTCTAGTAATAGTCCATTTTTTAAAAAATCACACATGAAGTCAAGTCATGACTTCTGTTTTAATATATAAGATATTTAAAAACAAAATGTGAGAAATAAATTAGAAAAATAACGTCAAGTATATATATATATATATATATATATATATATATATATATATATATATTTGGTAATCTTTGGATATCCATCAAATTTAGATATCCAATCTCTCATAATTCAACACCTGTTCTGATATTTTCTTATTTTGGTTTCAATTTCTGTTTGAGGTTTTCGGGTTAGGTTCGGCTATAGGTTTGTATTATTGACTATATTACTTTCAAAACAAAGATTAGTGGAAAGGTATCATATCTAAAGTATCCAAAACATGAGAAATTTCTTAAATTATTACTTTTAATATCACTTTTCATGTTTATTTTGACCACATTAATTTACCTTTCGTTTTAAAAATGTAAATCAACATTTATATCCTTAGAGATAATTAATAAAGACTTAGTGTTTATATTTTAGGGGTGAGATTTTGGAGTGTATAGTTTATAATTTTTTAAAATAAATAAAACTTCAAAATAGTTCAACATAAAAATTTGGAAAAATCGAAAGTTTTATAAAGATTTCGAGTTTAAAATGTATAATTAGAAACTATATAGTTTTTTAATTATTTATTTATATAATTTTTAATTATTTATTTAAATAATTATTTATATTTATATAACTATAAAGTAAAGATATAATAGTATTTTGTGTTTTAATTGAAACGTCATACTATATCTATTCGTGGAAATAACCATATAATAAAGGTAAACATAAATAATATTCCCGCCATTTTTTTATAATTGATATTTTAGTGGAACTTTTTTGTTCCAAATTATTTACTGTTTTTAGTTTTGTATTTAAAATTTAATATCAATTAATGTTACATTTTAAATATTTCTAAATATATGTGTATAATCGTAAATATCAGATATAAAAAACGAACGGAGTATTTTTCTAAAATGACATAAATAATACTGAAATAAGACAAAACAAAATTCTCCGAAAATCATAGGACTGATTCTTTATTTTTAATTTCATTCTTTAAATTTAAGATATTATTCATCGTCCAACAAAAATTAAGTAATTATCCGGGCGTAGCCCGGAGAAACACTCTAGTTTAACTAATCACAACTCGGACCTGTGTACAAACTAAGATTTAACTAACCATTATTACAACTTCCTATATATTATGACTGTTTGGGGTTTGTTAATTAGATCTTGATGAATCTCTTAATATCACGTTTACTTGTAACGTCTGGTAAAGTCATCTTCTATTTGGCCCTTGAGATACTAGTATTGTGCTCACCATCTTCTATTTCTCCTCTAATGTCAGTAACACATATATGTAGATCAATGTAAAGACAACCGATTAATTGTTAGGACATTTACGGTCTATTAAACCCATTAGAGTTTCCATATGATTAAGTGTTTTGTATAATTTTATATTATATGATCTTTTGGGTCTACAGAAGATTGTTTAACCTATGCATGGTTTTGTTATAGCAAGGAGGATGAAAGCAAATTAACTGTAACAGTTGGTAATAAGAAAAAATGACAGAAGCAGAGATCAACATTCTCAACTGATTAGCTACCATCATCACTACACGGTTAAATTTCTAACATTCTAAAAAAAGAATCAGTGAAGACTATTTTTAACCGAGATATGAACAAATATTGTACTGGAAAAATAATTACAGAGGCAAGAAAATATGTTGAACATCTTAAATAATTTAGAACTAGAGATTAAAGTCGTTACAATTTTATATGTAATATAACAACCAAACACTAGCTAGACATAAGTACCAGGCAAACCTTTCTCCAAATAATACAAAAGTTAACTAATCACGCACACACACACCAAAGAATTATCACATCATCCAATAGTAGCAGATCAATGAAACTACATATCAAAATAACTAGGGTTTTTTACCCACGTCGATTAGATACAGTCACTTCTCCCATAAGGACTGCACATAAATCAAACTCTTCATTACAACCCTCAACCTTTTGGCAAAGTCAGTCTACCAAAAGTTTCAGTTTCCCATCATACCCATCAATTCAAAATTCAGACATCTATATACATGCCTTTGTTCCAAAAAGAGGTCCTTCTTCGTTTGCTTTCATGCCTCAAACGTTTAGATCTTATCCACCAATGTGATTGAAGAATCAGAGAAGCCCTAGACGATGAAAACTTTGGTTACTCAGGAGGTATCGTGACCCTTGGTCTCGAAGTTGTTGTTGAAGATGAACCCTTCGACTTGTGAAGGAGAAGAAGATCTCATGGGAAACGAAGAGAAGTAATCTTCTTCAACATCTTGAATTAAACCTTCTAAGTCAAAGTAAGTGTTTGTGTTTGAAGTAGTACTCTGATCACCGGATCCCCATTCTTCTTTTACATCATGGTTTCCACCGTTTGCTAATAAACCGGTGAAACTCGTACGCCTCTTAACCGGCTGATGATCTCCGCGAACCGGTTCTTGGGACGTGGGAATTCTCGGTCTGGCACTCCTTTTACCGGTTTTGACCTCTACGGCTGCTGGCTTTCCGGTTAGACTTTGGACTAGTGAACGGAAGTTCTTGACGTCGGTCTTGATGACCTCCGGTGCGAATATATGGATGATGCGAATCTTTGGCTTGATCTTGGATATTACTTGTGACTTCTTGTTCATGGAAACCCTAGAACTCGAACCTTTCTCAAAACTTTGGTGATATTGAGTCACCTCCATTGATTCTCTCACCATTCAAAACCAAAGAGAAAATTTAAAAACGATGATTGAGGAGATATTTGATATTTTTTTTTCTTTGTGAGATGAGTTGTTTGAACAAAAATAATTGGTAAGTCGTGGAATAATACTGCGGCGGTTGGTTATATATTTATGTAGAATTATAAGGATAGGATTGTTGGTTAGTCAAGATCATTTTATTAATCAAACTTGAATATCAAAATGATAAAGAATGTGTTGGACGAAACGTCGATGGACCTGCCCTCCATGACACATATCAACTTGATTTAAATAAAGTATTAAGTGTATATATTATATCATTTATATGATAACATTTTTAGTTTTTTACGAGGAATTTGTTATCAACCAACCAACTGACGAGAAATCTAAACTATACTACTAAAATATTATACATATCATTTAAGTACCTACGCATAGGTAGCATGAACCATACCTTTCGTCAAAATTTTGATTTTTTTGGAGCGTGAAAAGGTGTTAACTGTCGGCATGTAATTATGACATTAATTAATTATGATGTTGTTTCAGTTTTTATATGCATGTATATCAGTATATGTAGATTTCTCTTACAAGTGTTATTACTGTCAATTATCCCCTATATATTAATTGAGAAACATTTGAAAAGATGTAACCTCAATTTTGTATTAATTAAAAAAGGCCCCAATGCATAGGTGTCATTCAATTAGGTAGTCAATTAGATTCAATTGAAAAATAAGTAAGTTCACATTGGATTTTTATAGGTTGCTAGATACATTAGTTAGTCAAACTATATGATATAATGATATGATATGTTATTTTCTTTCCATAAATAAAACCTACGGAATTACCATAAATGACTAATATATATATATGAC